AAAATAAAGAGTGATAGGTACAGTAACTAAAATGTATTTCACGGTTTTTGAAAATCACTCCTACTGAACACGCCTTGTGATTGTATTTTTTAAAAGCAAATACTTGAAAAGTTGCAACAATAAGGGATTTCAACAAGACGGAAAAATTTCGACCGCAAGACGGAAGTGAAAAAAGTGACGTGTGTCCGTTTGTGCAAAGAAGCAATTCCAGGAAAATGAAGTCAAAAATCACATGGAAGACATGGGGGAAAACCTTTTTATCCACCAATTGAAACAGATATATTTTTAGTGACATTGTAATAGTGGCATGTATATAAAAGAGTCGTCGACTTAGCAAGTGAAAACACTAAAGCAAGTGTAGTAGAACAAAGACGTTCAATATGCAAGCTGGAAAAACCTTTTTTAATCAAGACACTCCAACGCTAGTTCTGCGAAGTCTGTTTGAAAAGTATGACAAAAACAGCAGCGGATTTTTAGAAAGAAATGAGCTGAAGATATTGCTTGAAGACGACCTTGGACTAGATTCGGGACAAAGCGAGGTTTACACACTACTGCTGGATAAAAATGGTGACCATAAYGTCAGTTTTGAGGAGTTTAAAGCATGGTTTCGAAGCGAGGAAAGRTTTCAAAACATCGACAATCCATCGAAATACGACATCCTGTGCCAGGCTGTGGCTTATTTCAAGAACTTTGATGCCGATGACAGTGACACGTTGAATCATGATCAGTTTARARACTTCATGGTATCCCTTGGATACGTCAATCAAGATGACATAGCGARGGCATTTGACGTCATTGATTGTCATGGCAATGGCATCATATCTTTCTGGGAGTTTTTGAAAKGGTTGAACTGGATTCCTTTATAATGGACGAATAGAAAACATCGTATGCTTATTGACGATATTGAAACACTCAATTTAYGCACTATTGGGATTTGAAATTATAAGTAATGTAAACTCTCTGTATAGTTGAATTATKAGGGCAAAGCTTTTTGTATATCTAAAACTGCAAAAAAAACACGAATTATATGGAAAAGAAAATAACAAATTTAAAATGATGTTCAAATGTATATAAAAATGTTTATTACGGAAACGAGAATAATGACTCAATCCATCTGTAAATAAAATATATTTCTTTATTCAGTCATTCCCTTAATTATCGTTACATTAAAAAAATTATTTCGAAATTTTAAATAAAGCTATTTAAAAGATAAGAAAGTCAGCATTCAGTCTGTTTTATTTACTTGTACAGTCCTTCCTACTACTGCACTAGTTACAAGTACTATACCAATACTCATTAACATCACCACAGTCCTTACAGTCTCAAACATCAGCTTAGGCGAGAACACACTCCATACAAACAGATGATACCGCTGACTGTATACTAACGTTGTATACACACACAGGAGAAGGGACTGGGGTAGAGTGTACATCACACACATATCATAAAGACYGTCATATAACCTAGAACAGAAAGAGTATATATTTGTGAGCAATGTTAAGGCCCGTTTACACTTTTTTGCAGAGCGATTCTTGCGGCGATCGTCGCGCGACTTAGTTCAAACATGCTTGAAAAATGGCTGCARCTTCGCGGCGAWTTTCCATCGCTGCAAAAATCGCAGAGCTGTTTACACGTACGATTTTAGTTGCGCGATAGCAATCGCACTGCAAAAATCCCAAGTGTAAACGGGCCTTGACAAAACTAGATCTGAYGATATTGYGTTCTATGGCGTGAGAGTCTGATGTAAAAAGGGGAAGTTTAGGCGAATTGAACTTTAGTCAAGAGGGATCACATGACTCTCACAATGCGCGCTCGTACTTGTCCCGCTTGCATTCTGCTTTCCTTTGAATAAAATTATGCTGAAAAAGCACAAAGACTATTATGGATAACGGTGACCCTTCGCGCATTTTTTCTGAAGATTGTAGTTGCTTGGTGACGCCTCCTAGKACTACAAGAGTTGCGAATGTTGATCGTCGGAAATATTCAATAAAGTTGTAATAAGGATACGCTCAAATGGCAAGGATCGTTCTGGCATACCACTCGTTTATTGATTCTCAAGTACAATAATTACAAAATATGTTTGATTTGTTCGGCACAAGCTGAGGCTGAAGACGGTCGATCAGAAAGACTTTCCGCAGTAGGAAACTCAAGCAACTTCCCTACTTTCTGTACTTTCTAATACGATCTAGACCACACAGCCTCAGTCTTGGCCCGCAACTAAGTACAATGAGATAGGTAGATGATTCGAGTGCTATAAGTCAGTCCTTTTTGATAATTCTAGACCAAATCTGATATCCTGTTTCCATCGAATTCTAGTCAAAACTAAGATGGTGGCCGTCTTAACTATAGGATCATAGGATGTTGTACCACACATGAAACTAATTATTAATTAATTATTAATTTAAAMATGTCGAAAAGTCGTAARAAAWTCATCTAAATTTCACAAATAACAAATCTTTCAAATTCTGTTATCTAACAAAAYTGTCRAAAAACTGTTTGTGTTTTAGATTTAAAGATTAATCGATGACGGATATCACACGAGCTTACCGTCTTCTGATTCTTTTCACGGATTTAAGTCTATCACAGTTTGAAGAGAAGGTTTTTTAAACATTACTGACAGGTCCTGACMGAACGAATAGTCGAGTGGATTTCAAGATTGATGGGRAAATTCAACGCAAKGATGATGCATTTGAATACTGTACTTTGATCTTTCATTTTGCTCCACGTGTTTTCTTAARYCCCGCGGGGAGAGCGGTGTAATTAAAAAGCTCCACGTCTGACTATTATATCRGTAGGRACAATTGTTACACAACTGACGACTAAGAAAATGGCTGTAGAAACTACTAAAGACTACCAGACTTTTTTCGACCCCATGGTCTACTTACTTAACTGTTTCGACCAGCCCCAAAAAGACGCATTCGTTCTCCGTAGACTCACTGATTTCTGGATACAGATTGCAAAGGATGGCAGAAAGTTCACAAATATGCTCGAATATGGYACTGGACCGGTCGTGTCGAGATTAATCAATGCAGCTAAACATGTTCAAAGTATCATAGCTGCTGAATATCTACCAGCAAATCGACAGGCCATGGAAGACTGGATCAATCAAGACCCAAAAGCATTCAACTGGAGACCGACTTTTGAATACGTGGTGCAGAAGCTGGAAGGCATGACACCAGATGAAGTTGAGAAACGTGAAGCAGAGGTCCGAGAGAAGATCAAAGCAGTTGTACATTGCGATRTTAAAGCAGAAAATCATCTAGAAATTCCAAGTGAAATCTCTGCCAAGTACGGCCCGCCATTTGACATCGTTATGACCTGTTTTTGCATTGAAGCTGCAGTCGAAAGCGAGAAAGAATATAGAAATCAAATAGCATATCTTGCTGGACTACTTCGCCCAGGTGGTTATCTAGTCATGCATGGAGTAGTGAAAGAAAGATTCTACAAGGTCGGAGATAAGCTGTTTTATTCTTTTCCTTTGATGAAAGAATGGATATTGGAGAGTATGAAGGATGCCGGTCTTAAAAACATTAATTTTGATTTATTTTCTTCCAACTTTTCTCGTGAAGAATTTTCTAGTGTTTATCCAATAGAAGACCTGAAATCTGGACTGAAGGATCACTATTCCGTGTATGGACAACTATGTTAAAATAAAATGTGGAGACGAATTAAACAATTTTAGGTTTTCTTTTCTATTTATATGAAGTTTTGACTAAACCTTAATCTCAGTTAATTTCACGAAAAATAACAGCATCATCATCATCATCATCATCATCATATTCCCTACTATATGCTTTGAGTAGTCTGACATCCACTAGTCGAATTAGTTGTTATATTTATCGCGATGATTTTATCTAGCTTGTGATAAAACCATGTCTAGAATATATTTTCAATGTTTAATCATAGTTCATACGTGACCTTGACCATATTCTGACCATACACCCTAGTGGGAGTACCACCTTCCCACCATTTCCGGCTCACTCATTTATTTTCAGCACGAGATTAAGCACATAAAGTTGGCGCAGACTAGGTACTACTGAGAAGATTAGTTCACCAGGAGAGAACAGTACAATCTCATGAATCATCGAACAAGCTTTGATTCTTGATCCTAAAGGCCGATTTAGACGACGTAGGGATTTTAAACAATTGCTTAATAACCTCACGACAGTTGTAGCCATGTTGTAAGGATGACTTACGCAGGTCGCATGCGATAGTTGTAGGGAAAAGTTGTGTTGTCTAAATCGGCCTTAGAGCGGATTTCGTATGAGTGGGAAACGGACGGTACTGTACTGTGACCGTAATCGTACTGTTACCAAATTCTAGTGTCTCATTGGTTCACCAAAATTGTGCAGGCCAGGTGCGGTAACTGTGMGGTAACCGTGCGGTAACGGTGTCCCACTCATACGAAATCCGCTCTAACACTTCACAAACCAAACAGTTTGTAAATGACCTATAACGCATGCTCTAATACGATTTCTGCACCCATCCCACATGGAAGCATCCTTTTCCATACATGCTATGATACTTACTGTTTTTGCGATGTCGAATCCTTTACTACGCGATGAAGTAGCGCTGCCATCCATAGAAGAGGTCCAGAATACGTACTAATAATCAAGAGACACGTCACAGCTACGTCATCGTGCGCCTGCAGTCCTATGTAGGCAGCAGCCAAGTCTACTGTAGTCAAACTGTTTGATTTGCCCAGAGTAAAGTATGCTACATGACCAAACCAGAAGTAGACCAGGTAGGTTGTCCAGGAATTCGCATTGGCTTTGCTGGAAAAGAAAGTATACCGTTTTGTTTTTCATACATTATCCGGGAATCAGGGACCCTGCTACGCATGCTCTTCTATTTCCATCAATAATCATCAATATTATCATCTGTAATCATCATCATCATCATCGCCCATGGTCATAACCTTAATTACCATTATTGTATCATCATGCACTAATTGAACAAATTACCTCGACGATAAAAACCTCTCTAAACAGCATTGTTGTACTACAAACACTGCAAGTACAAAGAAACTATGCGCGCGAGTAACCAAAGCCACAACGACAACAAAACCAGCAAAGAATGTCTTCACTGCTTCCTCCAGCTTGGAYTTATACATGACAAAATAGTCTTCAGAAMTGCTCTTGAATCTCAGAGTTCTTAAGAACCTAATGACAGAAATTACCAGCAAAACGAATGAGCATCCATAAGCCATTCTAGCCTCAGTCAGTCCAAGAGTGTTTGGTTTACTAGTTGTCCATGGTAACCAAACTGTTCCCGTAGCAACGCGGTAGTTGTAAACAAACATCAAACCAACAGACTGGATTAYTGARGTAATAAAGTCAGTTCGTTTGAAGGTACAAAAAAGYATCACACAAAGTGAAGCTATYGAGACAAGAGACAAMATAAGTTGATTTTCTGGCAGCGTTAACCAATCACCCACGTCAGGAAGGTGGGMCCATTTAATTCCAGTTTGATTCCAGGTTCGTGATATACGGACAAGAACAAGACAAAACAACGGCCCTAGCAACGAAACTAGTGTTTCATTTTCGCARTCTGAAGCCCCAGGCTTTTCTTGCAAAACACAGCTTTTCATATTCTTTTCTTCAATGAAGCTTTCAGCTTGTCGCGCAAAGTTGTTAAATGAATGCACATTAAAACGATTTTCCAKCAACTGTTCTGTGGAACAATTCTTGATTTCATCTTGGTAGTCAACAGTTAGTTCTCTTTGATTTGCAGGAATAGGTTTTCTCTGGTATAGACAGCGCTTTATAGAGACGCAAAAACTGACAATAAAATACGTTTTTATGAGGAAGTACCAYGTTTGATGCTCCTCTTCTACAAAACTACTTGACAGCAAACTAAAAATGTGAAGACTCGTTCCAAMAACYAGAAGACTYTTGATAGGGCAGCATATAATTGAGCCTGATTGCCGGACAATKTTACAGAGGRACGAAGGAATTGTGTTAATGCTAACAGAGGATAATGATAAACTACTGAAAATAATGAGGATCAGCGAAAAGATGACCGATGATGACTGCTTAGAGCACAAGATATCGCTGCTGCATGTACCTAGAAAAAAAACAAACAAAAAAAAAAAACGATGAATTTCTCAGGGTTACTTTGACAAAGAACTTTTGTTTAAATCAGTCTTTGATGGCATATGAGAATATAAGGCAGTAACAGTTTGTCTTTCAGATCAAAAGGGTTAGAGTGAGGTCACAAAACRTGAAATAGACAATAACAGTCTGATACACCTTAGTACGGTCTAATTGCGACCATTRACASTCAAGAAGTKGATGACCTTACCTGTTGCCAAAGTGCTTGAGCAAATAGACAAATGAATTGCAACTGYAACCATTAAACAAGCTCCAAACATGAATAACSAAGAAGCTGATGGAATTRAATCRCCAATTGAGAATATTTTCCTGGATTCTTCACTACCACGAAACCCTATACTRACCAACCAACCCAAAACCTGCACCAATRTTGCTATCCCAGAAACCATTGCATGTAAGTCGTAGCATGAMAGTGAGGCAGTRATCTGATCAYTCATGCCAGTAATTGCTTTCATGTACTGCTTGACAACTTGCTCTGATTGTATTGTTAGAGYATTCTGGTCTTGTTTGTTGGCTTTCAGTGATTCAAGCCAGCGTTGATGCAGMCGATATGCTTCTTCTAATTCCCAGTTTGATTCAGGTTGATGTCCATTGGCTTGAAGAACTTTTGTCAGCTGCTTTGCATTGAGTTGTAAAGCTCTTAGTTTGTCTCTTGGACTRTAGAGCATCAGAAGGTCTGGGATGACATGACCAACACTGAAATGCAAAAATTAAAAACTGCTTGTGTGTTGTTTGGTAGATCTATTTTGGGGTAGATTGGTTGTTTGGTTTGAGGTTGATTGGTTGGTTGATTGGTTGGTTGTTTGGTTGGTTGGTTGGTTGTTTGGTCATGAGTGTAAGCAAAAAGGTAGTTTAGAAGGATATATTTTCATTCTTACCTATTTTGTGGTATTGGTAAACCAAGAATGGTAGCCAAGGTAGATGCAACATCGATTTGATCAACCATCATCTCAGAAAACTTCAACCCTAAAGAAAAAAGATTTCCTTTTCATGAGAAATGACACTAAAGTCTAGTTTACTGACTTAATGCATTATGTTGATGAGAATTGTTAAATTAAACTATCAATTTCAAGAAAATCAAGTAAACATTTTGCTCACCTTGTCCATTTTGAAAACGAGAACCAAGAAGGACAAATGGTGTGAGTGTYTCAGGAAGAGAAGCCCCTCCATGACTYCCYGAGTCACTCATYCCATGGTCACCACAAATCACAAGCAACGATTTACTTCCTCTTTCATTATCATTCTTTAATAGATTTCTGTGGATCTTTTGGATGATATAGTCCATTTCTTGTAGYTTAGGGCCCACTAAKGGACTACTGGGCCCAGCAAGATGTCCTATATGATCCAACCCTAGGTAATGTAGGACCATAATGTCCCAATCATTACTTTGAAGTTCCTTATCAAGATGTCTTGTTACATTGTTGTCAACCTGAAAATGTCTCAGTATCAGAAAGTACTAGTTTCTTTTGTTGGGCTTACCTGTTCCTATAAAAAAACAGGAAGCCCAAAAAACGAAATAATAGCATGGGAGAATATTGATAGGACGTTTCATTAAACTTTCTAAAAAACCTCATTTTTCATTTTGAAATGGTCAGCTAAACAGATTAATTCCATGACAACATTGTGCTATCAACTGCATACCTCTGTATAATCAGTGACAAAGAAGGAAGTAGTACCATCTTTCCTCCAGAAATGTCCAGGAAATAGCTTCAACCAAGTATCATCACCAAAGAACACAATCKTCTTTCCTGCTGTAAACATCTGGGTCACTAGATTATCTTCCTTGAGGGCAGTAGATACCGAGTTGAATAGGAAATCAATAAAGCTTGGAATACCACCTGTCATGAGTGCTTTAATCCTCGGCATTGTGACAGTAGGTGAGTGAGCTAGGGCAATAACACTGAAAAAGAATGAGATCAACAATATCATTATCATGTTATAGAAAAATAATAATCTGCACTGAGAGCTTTTCCATATACATGACATTTAATGCTAAAAAAAGAAAATTATTGAGTAGATAAAGCAAAAAGTAAAACTGAAAAAAGCCTACAGTTAAACTACGTTAATCATGAACACATAGTGATCATTAATGAATTCWATATTTCATTATTAATCAAAAATATTTAAAAATGCAAAAACTAACAAGATATATTATAAATAAGATGCAAGATGGGCGATAGCTCCACAATTTGAAAAGTTTACTAATAAACTCAATAATGAATATTTGAATTCAAGAATCACATCAGTAAATAAAATAATGGGTTCATTAATGATCATTACATGTCTACGCTTATGCAGGTAGTTTGGGTTGGGCACTAACTTTGTTTGTATAATCATTTTAAAACTTTATATGTCAAATTTTACAATGGAGCTTATAAGTCTATAATTAATTCATTTATCATGCAAATTAGAAATCTTAAKACTTGCCTAATACTGTCGTTCTTGTCGATAAGGCCTTTCGTGTATACCATTCTTGTGTCATTAAAAACAAAGTCAGCTCTCAGCGCATCTACCAACACAAACACCAATCTATCAAAAACAGCTGGAACACCATATCCTTTATCTGTACTTCCTGGCTCTGGAGGAAGATTATTTGAAGATGCTGAGCCTGGAAGCGCCTTTTTTACAGGAAAGAACCCTTTTAGAAAAAGGGAAAGCCCTGCTAATTGCACGAGCAAGAGGCAGAACAAAAATATCCTTCGTCTCATTATGTCACTTGTTTCTGTCGATGCTAATAAATATAAACATCAGCTGCATATGTAGCTCATTTAAAAACTTAGATCTATTAATGTTCGGGAGTAAACAAATGAAATGTAAACGCCGGTACAACATTCGTCTGCCATCTTGAATACTGATACATCTAGTACCCAGCTCCCCTCGCACTTTATAATCCAACATGGCGGACGAGAAGAAAGAATTCACGTTTTCAATAAACAAAGATTTTGCGAAGAAATTTGAGAAGAACAAGCGACGAGCAGAGCTCGAACATTGTAAGTATTTAGCTAGTCGTGAATCGTGATAAATATAAGTTTATAGMATTGATATTTTTGTTGRATTTTAAACAGTAAAAGCAAAGTATGGCGATGYKAAGTCAGACTCAGATTCAAGCTCTTCAGAGACAGAGGACGAAGATGCCAAGGTATGTTGTTGTATTGATGACATGTGTGATGACTTTGATATATGTGATACCTATTCTAGCGACCATCTCTTTTTATTTTGCTCCGAAATGGAGATGTTTACGTTTAATTACACATAGCACGTGCATGATGTTGTACTGTAAGCTTAATTCACAAAGTAAGCTTAAAAACTACTTTATAGGAAGTCACATCACAAAAAGAAAAAGAGTTCCTAACTGTTTTGTCGCTGCTAAAGGAAAAAGATCCAAAGATCTACGACAAAAATGCACACTTCTATGAGAGTGGTCAGTTTTTCATTATTTGTTATTTTGCATTTCATTTTTAAATCAATAACCAACATAATCATTCTGTTTGTTCATTCATTTTTTTGTTCAACTATCCATTCATGCATGCATAGGTAACAGGGTTACATGTAAAATAATAGCTTGGGCTACCTGTGGTTGAGCACAGTCCTTTCCTCATTTACATATTCAATTCCATAGAGAGTTCCTCTGAAAGTGACGAAACTGAGAAGAAACCTGCTAAACCAGTTTATTTGAAAGACTATGAAAGACAACAACTTATTGAAAAAGGAAGGTTAGGATTAATTATGTATGTTGTACATAAAGACTGAATGAATCCAGTCATTGCTAAGAATATATATACATGTATAAGAAACATTCATAATAATCAAATGGTCAGAAGAGAAACTAAATGAAAAATTATAAAAACAGTAAAATAAATTTGTGATGCATCACACTTGATAATAATAATTTGTCAGTGAACAAATGATAGATTACGGCAATGTCTTTAATTTGCAGCAAAGCATTTGTGAGTGATGATGAAAGTGAAGATAACACATACAAGGTAAGATGACAATGATATATATAGTCAATGATAAAGATGTTATAATATAGATGGATTTATTATGATAGGAGAAACCCCCACACATGATCATTATCATAATATATATTATTAACTATTTTAATAATGTTTTAAATGCTTAGAATAAGCAGGATCTTACTTATAATGAAGAACAAAAGGTCCTTCAAGAAAGGTATACATGAAACAGCCGTATATTGACAATTTATTGATAAAGTAAAGTTAACTGTTCAAATAATTTCAGTTTTAAGAAAGCTGTTATGGAAAAAAGTGATGATGAAGATGACTTTCTTAGTGTTAGAAAGAAAACAGAGCAAGAGAAGGTAATATTATCATGCAAAATAATCCATATTTTTTCAGTTTATGTTTGATAACTATGGCTACATGGATGACTTTAATGGCTTGATGGATCATTGAAATTGGGAACCCTGTATCAATGCATGGATTCCAGACAGATTGTTGAAATGGTGGATGGAGGGGAAGAAACGAAAATAACATTGAGGAATATGAGAAGAGAGAAGGGAGGGGATCATTTCAATTTATTGATTAGAAGTTGTTTCACAGAAAAAGGAAGATGATGAATACAAACAATGGCTGAAAGGTGTAAAAAAAGAGTCAAAAGATAAAGACTTGGTAAGTGATATTCACTTATTTCTCACTTATACAGTTATCAAATCCTATTGTCATTAACACTTGTTGTCTGGGTAGAGCGATTGAGATGTTAATAAAGATTTCATCATCACTATTTTCATCATCATCATCATCATTATTATAAGACATATAACAAGAGTTTGTTCTTCCAGGATGCTCTTCAGAGATATTGGAATGATCCCAGCCTTGATGAAGATGAGCAGTTTTTGAAAAATTACATTCTTGACCAAGGATACAAGGATAAAGATGACATAAGGTCAAGTTGGTCTGTCTGTCT